CCTTTACACCGACATTGACACGTTGCACCACAGCGACAGCTGATTGTGTAGTATGTGAGAGGCAGACAGCACCGTATCATCTGCATCATCACGTAGTACTGTAACCATTGTTGCGCGGTCATATATAACCTTTACACCGACATTGACACGTTGCACCACAGCGACAGCTGATTGTGTAGTATGTGAGAGGCAGACAGCACCGTATCATCTGCATCATCACGTAGTACTGTAACCATTGTTGCGCGGTCATATATAACCTTTACACCGACATTGACACGTTGCACCACAGCGACAGCTGATGGTGTAGTATGTGAGAGGCAGACAGCACCGTATCATCTGCATCATCACGTAGTACTGTAACCATTGTTGCGCGGTCATATATAACCTTTACACCGACATTGACACGTTGCACCACAGCGACAGCTGATTGTGTAGTATGTGAGAGGCAGACAGCACCGTATCATCTGCATCATCACGTAGTACTGTAACCATTGTTGCGCGGTCATATATAACCTTTACACCGACATTGACACGTTGCACCACAGCGACAGCTGATTGTGTAGTATGTGAGAGGCAGACAGCACCGTATCATCTGCATCATCACGTAGTACTGTAACCATTGTTGCGCGGTCATATATAACCTTTACACCGACATTGACACGTTGCACCACAGCGACAGCTGATGGTGTAGTATGTGAGAGGCGGACAGCACCGTATCATCTGCATCATCACGTAGTACTGTAACCATTGTTGCGCGGTCATATATAACCTTTACACCGACATTGACACGTTGCACCACAGCGACAGCTGATGGTGTAGTATGTGAGAGGCAGACAGCACCGTATCATCTGCATCATCACGTAGTACTGTAACCATTGTTGCGCGGTCATATATAACCTTTACACCGACATTGACACGTTGCACCACAGCGACAGCTGATTGTGTAGTATGTGAGAGGCAGACAGCACCGTGTCATCTGCATCATCACGTAGTACTGTAACCATTGTTGCGCGGTCATATAAATAACCTTTACACCGACATTGACACGTTGCACCACAGCGACAGCTGATTGTGTAGTATGTGAGAGGCAGACAGCACCGTATCATCTGCATCATCACGTAGTACTGCAACCATTGTTGCGCGGTCATATATAACCTTTACACCGACATTGACACGTTGCACCACAGCGACAGCTGATTGTGTAGTATGTGAGAGGCAGACAGCACCGTGTCATCTGCATCATCACGTAGTACTGTAACCATTGTTGCGCGGTCATATATAACCTTTACACCGACATTGACACGTTGCACCACAGCGACAGCTGATGGTGTAGTATGTGAGAGGCAGACAGCACCGTATCATCTGCATCATCACGTAGTACTGTAACCATTGTTGCGCGGTTATACATAACCTTTACACCGACATTGACACGTTGCACCACAGCGACAGCTGATTGTGTAGTATGTGAGAGGCAGACAGCACCGTATCATCTGCATCATCACGTAGTACTGTAACCATTGTTGCGCGGTCATATATAACCTTTACACCGACATTGACACGTTGCACCACAGCGACAGCTGATGGTGTAGTATGTGAGAGGCAGACAGCACCGTATCATCTGCATCATCACGTAGTACTGTAACCATTGTTGCGCGGTCATATATAACCTTTACACCGACATTGACACGTTGCACCACAGCGACAGCTGATTGTGTAGTATGTGAGAGGCAGACAGCACCGTGTCATCTGCATCATCACGTAGTACTGTAACCATTGTTGCGCGGTCATATAAATAACCTTTACACCGACATTGACACGTTGCACCACAGCGACAGCTGATTGTGTAGTATGTGAGAGGCAGACAGCACCGTATCATCTGCATCATCACGTAGTACTGTAACCATTGTTGCGCGGTCATATATAACCTTTACACCGACATTGACACGTTGCACCACAGCGACAGCTGATGGTGTAGTATGTGAGAGGCAGACAGCACCGTATCATCTGCATCATCACGTAGTACTGTAACCATTGTTGCGCGGTTATACATAACCTTTACACCGACATTGACACGTTGCACCACAGCGACAGCTGATTGTGTAGTATGTGAGAGGCAGACAGCACCGTATCATCTGCATCATCACGTAGTACTGTAACCATTGTTGCGCGGTCATATATAACCTTTACACCGACATTGACACGTTGCACCACAGCGACAGCTGATTGTGTAGTATGTGAGAGGCAGACAGCACCGTATCATCTGCATCATCACGTAGTACTGTAACCATTGTTGCGCGGTCATATATAACCTTTACACCGACATTGACACGTTGCACCACAGCGACAACGGTGTTGCGACGCGTAATCCAGATGATGAGCTCAACATCCTGTACAGTGTTTACTACCAGAATATATGTAAACAGTTTAACTCGGTTTTGTCACATGTAACGACGAAAACTAACTTGAACTGTTTGTGAATACTGTAATTACAAACCCTCTCTTTTATATACCACAGTGACCTACTGCAGATTTTACTCTTGACAAGAATGGTAGGCCTAATTTGTTAGAAAAATCACAACCGCTTCGCGACGTTGCATTAATGTAGATTATTATTATCTTATAAGTGCATACACATGCAACCTATATTCTATGTACTTGATACATAAAAGGTTTTTAGGTAACATGACTTTTTCAGCCGTTCTCCTTAACGATGTTTTACCGTTTAGTTTCATTTAGCTCATGATCTAGTGGAGGGATGAATCCGTGATGCTTGATTGAAATTGGCAAATCACTCTGAAATCAACAAATTTAATCTACTAATCATTGTGTTAAGCAAACTTAATCGTCGAAAGGTTAAAGGGTATTGGATTATTCGTTATTCCTCTGAAACAAATTTGAGCTCATTAAAATGATCAGTTTACACACGGGTCCCCTCGTTGGAATAACATTATTTACACCATTAGTCTAATAATAAGTCAAACAAAAAAGCTCGAATTTTTATTTTTATTTTCATGTTCACGTATGGTTTAAAACAAAACTAGAGCTACACGGACAAGGTTTTATTTTAGTGGTGGGATAAGGGATGGGAACGTAGCCTAAGCAAGGTCGGTTAAACCAACCAGTTACAGTTTTTAAATTCAGTGATCAGCGTAGATAAACATATCTCTATGTTCGCTCGGGTAGAGGCAGAGGAGAATGTTCCAAGGGTCGGCGATGAGACGGTCTATAGCAGAAAATACATGGAAGGTTCTAATAGTTATTCCTTTCAATAAAAGAGTGTAAATTTAACTGAACAATTGTCTTTATTCAATGTATAATACATCTTGTGCCTACAGAGATGGCCACAGCAGTACACTGTAGCTTTGGCCCTCACACACTGAGTGACTCTTCTCAGCCTTGGGCAGCAATGCGGCAGTTTCACACTGACGTGCACAAGTAATGATTTGCGATTAGATTATACCACATCTGCACACAGGCACAGAAAACGTACTAAAACGTACTACACAGGGTGCGTATTTTATGACAAAAACTAATGAAAGATGAGCGTTAAATGAATTACATAATAGCTTTGTTAGGTGATAAAATTAGCGAATACCATTGATTATTTATTCATTATTTATCAAGGTCTCGACGAGGAAAGACAGTTGGGTCCATGTCATCGAAGTATACAACACAAAGTCCATGTCCACTTCCCATGATCGAACTGGAACTAATAATCAGAAAATATTTTGAAAAATAATGAACAATATAAATGAATTGTATAAATGAATATTTAATGTTATGGATTACATATCACATGACTACATTACAATCTCAGCTGTAGCCTACATGTAGGTATGCAAGATCACATAGTTGACCTAGAGCCCTGGGCGGGGGCGGGGGGCGGTGTGGGTCCCGTGGTCACTGACAACATATCTCGGTAACACTTACTAGCGTTGATCTCAGCACTAGCGCAGGGTTAACGCACACGGAAGTACACGTGGAGCATCAGATTATAATGGGTAAGCGGTGGTAGTAAATATGATATTTTATGGGTAAAATTACGAAAATTGCAATGGCTTTTGAACCGTATTCTTACAACATCGGAAGTTGCACAATTTTGTTTAAAGCTAAATAACGTACTAAATTTTAATTAAAATCGCTCAGCCGTTTTTGTGAAGATCTAATTTTCCCACAGTTTTTAGGGTATTCATGGGGAAATCTGCGTTGAAACTCCAAAAAAAAAACCTGCATTGTGTATGGACACAAATCTAGAACTATACATACAATTCCTATGGTAAAGTTGCAGAAGTTTGAAAATGGACTGTTGAATTGAGCCCTTGGCAGTGTACGCTGATAGGGATTATGTAGAACAGGACGACTTTTTAACCAAGCATAAATAACTGAGACATTGAGATTGAGAACTATAGAATCTTTAATGTTACATCAACTATCACAACAATATAGGGTCTAAGGGTGTAAGAAAATGTCAAAATTGACGGTAGTGGCTAATTTGATTTTTTTGTAAATAAAACTGTCAATGTCAATACAACTGGTACACGTAGATGTGACGTACTTATGTCTACTCAGTATCCAAACGTTAATGCTAATATTCCAATAGTGTTATTTTTTAATTATATAAATATCAGATGTTTTGAAAATAGGCTACTGTATCAAACCCAAAAGGATTTATAAAATATATTGTTAAATCCAATTATTGTTCAAGTTAAAATTATTTAAAATCTACCTAAAAACGATTTTACTGTCAACATAGGACACGATGGTGCTTCCTGGATCGCGTCCCCGGTTGTCAAGCGATTATATCATAAAGGCAGCAGTCAGCCGGTAGCTGGGAGAGAGGGAGAAGAAAGTGAAGGTTTGGTTTTCACTTTCGTCGCCAGATCGAGCCAGGTTGGGAGTTTGTGAGGGTGTAGAGTGTAGAGGGGAGGGGAGTGAAAGTGGTTCTGAGATCTGACCCCAGCTCACTGCTCAGCTGTGTTGTGTTGTGCCTGACTCCTGACTCCTGAGATAAGCTATTGTCTGACATCAGGGATTGTTGTAGTTTACGGGTGAAGGTGAACCAGTCAGAGTCAGCAGATAGGTGTCCAGGAGGGTTTAGTACACTAGTGTGTTGTGTGTCATGGGATAGCTCAGGTAACTGCTCTAGTTTATAGTAAAGACAGTTATACATTATATTACAATTAAACACTTGAAAATAAAATTCACAAATTATTATAAGAAATTAATATATTTTTATTAGAAAGAAATACAACACCAATTTCAAATAGGTACCTATTTTGACTCAAAATTCCATATCTAATTTATTTCCTTAAATCATCACTTATGAAAGTTTAATGCATGCATTCGAAGGTTAAAAAATGAAACATCGTAAATATATAATTGTTTTCAGATAACAAAGAGACCAAGATTTGAAAATCAAAATGTAAAATTGCATTGAAAACATAAAAAATTTAAAATACTAGCATTGATATTGTATCTGATATTTTTAGTATTCTTACTTTTAGCATTTTAATTTATGACAAGATAGGGTTGTCAGGACATACATTGTATTTGTTTTACAGCTTTAGTTTTATTTCTTACAACTTAAACGAATTTAATAAAATAACTTTACCTTAAAACCGTTATCACATGTTCAAACATGTTTAAATGATATAAAAATGTATGCTTTAAAAATTGAAACACAGAATGTTTTTTAAACATTTGAAATTTTTTTAATAGTCATTTATAATATTAATTGTAATCCAAATTTGATTCATTGCTATGAGCTCATTTCAAAATAATAATATAGTCAAAACACTTTTAAAGGGGGAAAATAGCCTTAAAAGTATTCTAAAAAGATAAGTAACTAACTTCAATTTGAATACAAACACAGTATTTAAATTTTGCTGAATGTCTACTGTAGTTTTTCACGTTCACTTTTATCGTGAATAAAGTTTAGGCTGTTGCAGCAAGAGCCTTGATCAAAATTTTCCAAAATTTACATACTTTTAGAATTTGAGCCTATTTACTGGAATAATTCGTACTAAAGTAAACTTGTTTCATCGACAAATTTAGTGACTGTTTCATAATCGCTTAGTATTTTATCAAAACTTTTTTAGATAATTCATTGCCTAAGATGGATTTAAAAATAATTATTTCTTAATGTAACATAATTTATAGTGAGTTATTAAAAGTATATTTCGTTATTATTTTCCTTGAATAACACAGTTTTTTTGTATGGTTTACTTTGTACTGAAAATAAATGTTTACCGGACGAGTGACGTCGTTCCCGTGCGAGACTAAGTAGAGTACGGGATTACCATACGAGTCCGGTAAACTTTTTTTGGACGAGTGACGTACGATATTTTACGCCATACTAGTAAATCCGTACAAATCCTTATATATAACTACTAACTAAAGGACTAACAACACTAGTCATAACCTCTAAGAAAGGTTATGTTTTTGTTTATAAACTAGCCACTCTCACTCATTGCCAAATACAGTATAATCAGCTGGTTGGTGTCCGGTAAAACCCATTACAGTACAGTAGTATGTAATAAAACCCCATTTGATTCAGCTGACGGCAAACTACTGTTTTCTGGACTAAGTCCTTGCGTGGAAGTTCGTCAAAACAGTGTAGTGCGTAAAAACAATTTTTAAATGGTTGTATAACAATTAATTTCAAAGTTGTTGCAATATAGTTGGAAACGATTTTTGATCTATTTTAAAATTAACCCATTGTCAACATTGTTCATATTAAGAATAGTTTTTAAATAAGTTTAAAACTGATATCAAAACCGTTTATCGATTTTAAGCTACTTAATTTGAAGAAAATTCATTTTTAATACTCAGATTAATATGAAAAGTACAGTATGATTGCTGTTTTCAACTTGTAATTAAAACTTTAGTATAGTTAAACAGTAAATATGAGTTATGTTATAACCCTTGCTATTATGAGATAACAACATGAACAGCATGAGCTATTACTGAGCTGCCTTGACTGGTGGAAAGGTCAGTGAATGGAGGCTGGAGGATAGCTCCACTCCACCACTGATTGGATATTGGCAACCTCCAGTCCTCCACCACGCTTTGATACAGGAGAAACATTCTTAACACTCCAGAGTTCCTCTTGATCATTCTAAAAAAAATTTAGCTATAATTCAATAATAATATTGGTAATAAAAATATCAAAAACAAACTCAACAAACAATGTACAATGTGTCAAAACTGTTGGATATCTTATTTAATTAATTAATTAGGCACACTTTATTAACAAATAAATGGTAAACATTATCTGTTTAATATAAAATAGGTTTACGTATCTTACGTCGTCAATCCTCCTAGTATAGTCTCAGGCTAGTTAGTCGTCATCCTAGTATAGTTTCGAAACTAACGTTTAATTTTCAAGCCTTGTTGTCTGACATTAAATTATTGAAACACTAGTCGTTTCCAGTTACTAATATTACCTACATTTCAATGTTATTTTAATAATTTAAATACAATTTTATCTTGTTACTACATAATAAATCAAAAGTCAATACTCAATAGGCTATACTGTTTTAATAAAGGTCCAGCCGAACTTCCAGTAATCATTTTCATATTTAAGACTTTGTCATTAATCTTTTTCACCATTAAACTGGTTCCATTAACCCTGTCCTTTTTATGGATTAAAATTTCTTGGTAAATTTACAATTCCAACTTTTTATAAACATAACTTGAGAGACGTAACCACTTGGTGCTAAAGTAAGAGGAAATCCATCAACGACATGTAACAGGTCTTCCTCTAGCTTCTTCAATCAAAGTGTCCATTTAGGAGTAAACTCTACTGTTATTATTTAGTTGCCTAGCTATTTTATTATTAATTTGGTCACCATGTTCATTCTTTGGTTAAATTATTGCATGAATTTTCTCTTTTAGCGAATTTCCCTATAGGGAAGTAGCTATTACCGTAGGTAACACGGTAAGACCTATACCCGGGACCGATTTACTTTTTCATTTTGATGTCCCCAGAGGCCAAAAACACCATTCGTTCAAATTTTTATATATGTATATATATATAGATTTATATAAATATATATATATACGTCCGTGAACGCGATAACTTGAGTAATTTTTGTCCGATTTTGATGAAATTTTGTTTAAAGGTGTAAAGCAGGATAAACTTGAATGAGTTCGCGAACCAGCACGATCGGACCATGGGAATGTGGCTTTATGGGGGGTTTTATGGGGTAAAAATTGGTTTTTCTCACTTTTGACCCTCAAAACACAAAATATCCCAATTTCTCTTTAGACATTTTTAAAGAGCTTAAAAAAACAAATAATTTAGTATACAAAAGTATTTTTGTTCGATTATTAGTAACGGAGAAAATTTAAAAAATTGTAAATTTAAAATTCCCATGTTATTCTTATGGAGAATATTGTCAAATGTTGTAGTTCGCTTGTTTATGGATACATTTTGATCAAACTTGGCAAATTTATTTATTTTGTACTAAGCTATCAATATTTTACCCAAAAACACACTTTATTAGTTTCCTTGTAGCAGCAAACCTAGGTACTCGTTAAACCTTATGTTATTAAAATATATTTAACTGAAAATAAATTCAGACAAATGGAAATTCGCTTAGTCGGCAGGTTTGCTGCAGCGGGGGTATTTTTTTAAAGCATTTTCAGAGAATCCTTTACTGAACATTTTGTCAATGATATTTTTATTCGCAATACATTGTGATGGAAGACTTATCAATGTCTCACAAAGTTCATTAAGGTTGACCATTAAGCTTTCTCGGCCATTCCTTATTTGTAAAATATATTCAGCAAATATTGATTCCCTTGGATTTGCTCTATGTTTTTAGCAAGTGAAATATTCTTAAACATTGACCATAAAGGTGGTATAATTATCGAATTTTCTACCATTTCACAGCGACTCGCACCAGAGACTATGGTGGGTAGCTCATTGCCGGAAATTACCTCCAAAACCTTCTAGCGATATCTCGCAGTAATCATTCTACAGACGATAAAGCATACCTATTGGACATAGAAGCTTCATCCCATAATATTATTTTACAAATATTTAGCTTCGTTACTATTGGATTTTATTCCGGAGACTGGCTCATTTAATTTTATTGGCAATTTAAATCTGTTTTGTACTGTACGCTAAGATCTCCTAAGTCTAAATAGTCTGTTTTGTGACAGCATCTGTCCGTGCAATATATAAAAAAAAATTAAGCGGTCACATAACATTTCTTTATTTCTTTGAACTTCAAAAACCAGCATATGTAACTTTTCACAATTTATTATCATACCATCTCTGTTGTTAATAGTCCCCGTATCGCAAACACGTGATTGTTTCTTCTAGGTAGAATTTTATGATAATCAAAATAAAAAATTGGAAAACACAACACATAAAAATATCTATGAAAGCGTTAAACACACCATTATCTGAAAATAAAATGCAATCACATAATGAAATAGACTGGTTTTTACTTCCTATAAATGAAACTGCATAAATAAATTATCCCATCTCATCATCAATATATATAATTCCGTAAGTCAAATTTTTGTAAAGAAATTGTGAGTGACTGGATGGCCGTAGAAGGAGGGGAGGGGTCTTATTTTAAAGGTCTTGACGTGAATTTTGAGGGAAAACTATTCATTTTTTCTTAATTATGCGCCAAAAGGGTGTAACAGAATAAAATAATTTATATTTAAATAGCATGGGAATCTAATTTTATGTATTTTTATTAAGTGTAAACACAGCTGTGATTATATAAATTGAAAAAAAGTTATAACTACACCTGAATGTGCATATGTTATTATTTTGTTATTGTAAAATTGTTTATGAAGCAGTAAACAACACAAAGTGAAAATTAGATCAAATCTTTTGAACTGTAAACAATTTGATACTTTTAAGCTTAATACTTTACAATGGATTGTTTTTTTGCACAGTAATGTATAATGTCGAAAGACTACCACGCAGAGTTATTGTTCCTCGAAATGAAAACAACAGGCACCAGATTTGGCACAATATTAATGGAAGAAGAATAAATGAGCATCTGATGAACATGAATTTATTCCTGTGTATAGATTGCATTACACAGGGTAGGACCAAAGAACGATTTGATTTGGTAAAATTTTGGCGCAAGGACGAACCTTCACAA